TTGACCCTGAACAGACGAAGCCAAGCTGACCGAGAAGGCGGAAAACTTGGCGGTCGAAGCCAAATCGCTGAAGCTAATCTCATTTCCGGAGATGGATTCTGATGCGATCCCGAGTTCATATGTCATGAAGGTTTTGGCATGCATGGGAAAATGGCAAATGAAGATGCACGATCTCGGGTCTCAGCTGGATACCAGCAACAAAACTATGAAACCGTTCCTTGACGAATAGATGTTGTAGATCATGTTAGACCCCACACCCTAGCACGCCTCGTAGCATCCAATAGATCGAGTTCCCATCCACAGTGCCAAGACCTCGCACAGAGCAGCTGAGGCTGAGCGAGAGATCGCACGAGTGGGCCACGAAAATCGGGGCCCTTGCAGACGAAATTTCAGACTGCAATTCAGGTGGCATCGCTGATGGATTTACGCATGTGCAGCTTGTTTGCATTTCCTATCCATGCATGCACTGAAAAGTTGACAAAAACCCTTTCAAGATGGAGCCAAACAAGCAGCTGGTCGTTGACCTGTTGTGGGTTAAATGGTGGATTTTTCATGCATGTCTGTTGAGGCAACAGGACCAGCTTCGTCAGCAATTCATCCGTGCCAAGGCGTTGTGTCTTGGCCCATCACTACGTTTTGTTGCTGTATGATATTTCATGGATCTAATGCAGCTTCGACTATTCATTCGTATAAACCCCAAGGCACGAAAGATGCAACTTTGAAATCTCGAGCATAAACTAAAAGAATGATTTCTCTGCTTTTTTTGGAATAGCGAAACTTTCAACCATTGACGAATGAAATTCAACATTCCACTTCGGTACCCTTCCAAGCCCAAATGCCTCAACCGACGCATGAGGTGTCGCGAAGCCTTGAGCCTGCAAAGCCGTGCCCAGCCCCGTGGCATCTGGTTAAATCTCGTGGTCTGGGTGAGGAAATACAGTATGCATGCTATATCATAAGCATTCATAAGCTATATTCTAGAATTTCATTATATAGTAGAGTGAATTTCACATATGCCCTTGGATTTGTTTCCCTACCAACATGGCCCTCGATTAACTCGTGTGTTCGGTTACGGAGGGATGGGGTGGCTGAGGCCCTACATCGCTTACTTGAAGCAGAAGAGCAAGCCGCCCCCACAAAAGAAAGTGAAAGAAGAAAAATGAGTATATTCATGGTTGCTTGTGCTCATCTCCATGCCTTGTTTCCGGCTAGGAAATGATTCAAGTTGGTGACAGTAACCCAAAAAATTGTTTGATCCTTTGAAATTGTTGAGGTGGAGCTGGTTTCAAATGTTTGCAGGGCTCTTCGCATAGCCGGATCAAGTCATATATGTGAGTTTGGTGGTGTTCGCAGCCACGGGGTTTTCCAGTCTCCAAAGAGATTGTGATGGGTTTCTGACTGAGAAAAAATGTTTCTCAGCCATTGAAGTAGGTTCATGGTTCAGCTCGTTGTGGCATAGACTGTCACGCTTTCTTGTGTTAGCCTTGTGCCTGTGCCTAGACCAACAGCACGCGCAGGGAGGTTCTGGGGTCAGAAAACCACTTGCAAGCATCGCTGGAACAGGGCTTGATGTAACGTAGCTCATGCAGTATACGATATGAAAAGTATTGCAATTCATAAATCTCACATGACAGGTGAAGAAGCTGGTCCCATTCTTCGACATGCTGTTGAAATTGTTGCTGATGGGGCCCCTTGGCAACATGAGCATACATGAGCCGAACAATTGTTTGTAATCCACCAAAGCCTGGAGAGCGAGTTCGCGCCCTGGCCCCAATCTGCCCAATTTGCCTTTGCCAGTTGAGGATCCGGCGCGAACCTTGGCCGAGAAGACCAAAGCTTTTGCTGACGAGCATGGCAAAGCCTTCGCACGGAGGACAATGGGCTCATATGGGGTGAATGTGAAGAACGTAACCTGGCTTAAATTTAGAAAACTGGTTGGATGGCTGGATGGCTTACTTGTCAATTCTGCAAGGTCGCCTGTTTCTTTGGGACTCGAATTCGTATCCTCGTGCTAGCATATTCTCTTGATCGCACAATTATATAGTCGTATAGCCAAGAAACCTACCAATTACTATGCTTTGAGAATACAATGAAGAAGCTGGAAGTGGCAACCCGACAGCCCCAATTCATGTCCCGCTTCAGGCAAAGCGATTGCACGATGCTTTGGTGCGGAAATTTGGGCTTTCCTTGAGGATCCCTCTGTCAGAATATGTTCATTTTGAAGGGCCCCTGTCTGTGGTGATGCCTTACCTCAAGCCGTCTGACATTTTCAGCACTATGATGTCCAAGCACCCGTGGCTACTACTTGGAGGCTCCACAGGACCCGAGTCACAAAGGATGCTAGCGTCATTTTGGAAATGTTACAGGTTGGACCACCCTAGCCATTCAGTTTTCGAGTTCGACGAGGACCGACTGAAAAGGACAATCCCCATTACGGTGCATGGTGATGGTGGAAGGACCCAAAAGAAACAACCGCTTGAAATTTTCAGCATCCAACCAGTGATGGGCTTGAACACACAGGCCTCACGAAAGCGATGCAGCTGCCATTGTGAAACCTCAGTTGAGTTTGGTGGTGGTGACGCTGGTGACCCTAGCACTCATTGCCTCAACAGCAAGCACAACACCTACATGACGCATTTTCTGGCGTTTGCTTACCCATCAAAATCGTACAAAGGCTTTAACGATTTGCTCACAGGGTTGTTGGAAGCTGCATGCACGGACCTTGGCACCTTGTGCGCTGAGGGGGTGCTTGGGCTTGATGGGCAGCGGTGGTATCCGGCTGCTGTCGGGTTTAAACTCGATATGGAATGGATGGCAAAATGTTGGTCGCTGACGCGCTCTTATCAGAATGTTGGCCATGTTCGAGAAATACCTTGCTGCCACGAGTGTGATGCTGGTATGCCAAACGTCCCTTTCGAGGATGTCAACAAAAATGCCTTGTGGACACAGACGCGATTTAACACTATTCCATGGTCAGTGGACCCGCCTTGGGTCAACATCCCCTTTGACCCTGCGAAGCCTGCAAAATTCTTGAGGAGAGATGCTTTCCACATCTTCCGCATGGGAATTGGAAGGAACTACATTGCTTCTTGTGTCTTCTTGCTGTGCTACATGAAATGCTACTTAGACTTTGGGGTCTTCAGAACAGTCTTTCCTGCTGAATCTTTTTGGCCTTTTCAGGGTCGAGCAAATTTCCATAGTTGTAAAATGTGTTCAATCAGTGGGGTTTTGCAGCTGAGGTTTTTCAGTCATTGGGGAGCGCAACGCAATAGACAAATGCTTGGAACGGGCGTTCGGCAACCTGAAGCTGTTTTGTCTGGCCAATGGCTTGAGCGTGCAAAGCATTCGTGGCTTCAGTCCTCAATATGCATGCCTCGAAAAAAGCTTTTCCTTGGTTGGGTTGCAAAGGTGCGGATACAATCGTCATTCTGAAGTGGCTCCAGTTTTTCCTCGGCCTGTTGATGTCTGACGATAGCTGGTCTCCTGAACACAAAAGAATTTTGAATCTGATGTTGGAGGGTTCAAAGGCTGGCCTATCCTTTTCTCAAGGGATCCATGGGCATGGCATTTGGTTGAAAGTTTCTTGTGTGAAATCTGTGCGGCGAGCTACGCGCAGATTTGGTCACGCTTACGCGCACTTGGCTGCCTATTGTGTAGAACAAGGCTACACGCTGTTTGGAATGGTTCCGAAATTGCATGCAAAAATGCACTACCAAGCTGACTTTGATGATTCGATCAGAGAACAACGTCAATGGACTCTGAATCCAGCAGCATTTGACAACTCGATGTCAGAAGATTTTATTGGACGAATTGCTCGTCAAAGCCGACGCATTTCGTTCCGAAATATTGAGAAATCAATCCTCCTGAGCTATCAAACGAAGGCTCATTTTGTGATTGACAAATTTAAGAAGCGACGTTTGGGGTAAAAAAACGGCGTGAAAAAGCTGAGGCCCCAACATCCACATGGACAGGGTTTTGCACACTACATTTGATCCACCAAATGGCTTATTCTGGCCACGGCGTTTCTTTGAAACTTTCCAAATCTGCGCACGCAGATTTTACAAATCAGAGGCGTTTTGTGTCACGCAGAGTCGTTTTTACATACCCCAAAATCCAGAGGCTGAAATTGTGCACACAGGGAAGTTCTAGGTATATATAATTATATATATATATAATATTATATATGATTTGCCTGTCAAAAAAAAAGCGATTTTCCGTATAGTTATTATGTCAAATTACCAAAGGGCATGTACATGGAACATGTATGTACCATATCAAGTGTCCAAATGCTTCCAGTCTGCAGAGCATGATGCAAATTATGGATGGATGCTAATGTATGGTGTAGGCTCTAGGTAATGCTCAAAGCAAAGAAAACGGTGCTGCTTTGACAGCCCAAATAAAGTTGTAGATCTAAAAATAGACCGTAACAAGAATTTAAACATGTTCTGTTTTTTTCAACCAAACTTAAACAATAGGGCGCTCTTGTCTCATTGGATTGGTTTCCGAAAATGACAGTTAACCCAACCATGGTTCACGCAGATTTTCCCAGTGACGTCACGACGGGTCACGACGCAGCATGTCGCAACATCATTTATCCAGAACCAATGATTCTTATTGTCCCATGTTATCCATGAATATCTCCATTATCCCTGTATATTGACGGTTTATATCCAGCATTATCCCGTTGATTATCATTGATTATCCTATAATGTCCATATCCGGCATGAAATTCTCTCATTCATCCAATGACTGATCCAAAAACTTACCATGTAAAATTGGATTCTATAGAGAAAAATATGATCAATGATAATCATCTTGGATGATAATCAATGATAATCACATATGTCTTTTGCCATATTACATATGTTTCACATAACAGTTATGGTAAAAGTAGTTTTAGTGAAATTTAGTGGAACCCCCCCATTGTTTCATGATAACCAGTGATAATCACATATGAATATCTTCCCATTGTTTCATGGTTTACCTCCAGGCTTCCAAGCTTGTCGAGGACCTCCTTGGTAACCGGGTTTGTCACCTGGCATCCACTTGCGACTGAAGGGGGACTAAAGGGGTCAAATGAAGGGGGGCAAATATGGCTTCACCAGCAAAAATTGTGATTCTGCCAGACAAGATTGTGATTTAAGCTGTAAAGATTGAGACTAAACCGCCAAACATGTGGATTTCATCAGCACATAAATACAGGGTTGGAAGACTACCTTCCTCCAAAATCAGCTATTTCTCATTCTCCCCATGTGGCTGTTTCATGTCAGGTTGGAGGAACCCTGAGCAAGTCTCCGCCCGGCTCCGCGCGCGTTTTTCCCACGATCTCTTTGATCTTGTCTTTGACACCAGGGACTTGTGGATTCTGTCCTTGTGCCACACCACAGATTATGAAGTTTGTATGGTTATGGGTCAAAACCCTGGTATCTATATTATACGGTACCTACATTTAAATATACGGATATTTAAACAACGCAATAGGTATTTTATACTACCTCCGGGCAAGTTTTCTCTGGCCCGGCCAACCATCTTAAATATACGGAAGTTAACTATTTAAATATACGGAAAAAGGAGCTGCCGGCGACCGCTCCACCAGTTCAGTACCTGGTGCAAATGGCAAATGTCCACCGTTTCGATCCCCTCGCTTTCGTTCTTGATCAATGAAAACATCCTTGGCAAATGCTTTCGCATTAGTCAATAGTCTGTCTTTTATGGTATTGAGGTTGTACTGTACTATACGATTTTGGCTTTGGTGGAAATTCCTTTCATTAAAAATTCGAACTGGGTGGAAGCGCGTGGCTAGAAATTGCTTGCTTCTCTCTTTCTTGCAAGAAATGTCCTAGGTGGAGTTCCTGGGTGGAAGTTCCTTGCTTCTTGGGCGGAATTCCTAGATGAATTCCATAGGTGGAATTTCACGGGTGGTGGTGGAAGTTGCTTGTTTCCCTCTTTCTGCGGAAAAAAAACGGTGGGATTTTTTGGGTGGGGTATCCTGGCTGGCAATTCCTTGCTTTCCTGTGTCTTGGGGAAAAATTGCCTAGGTGGACTTACCTGGCTAGAAATTGCTGGAATCTTCCTTCCTCAGCAAGACTTACCTGGGTGGAGTTTTGTGAGTGGAAATTCCTTAGTTCCCCGCTGTCTGGTTGCAAGTTACTTAGGTGGAGTTTCCTGGGTTGAAGTTCCTTGCAGTGCTCCTGCTCCTTCTTGGAATTCCTTTTTTTGGAATTTAAGGGATTTGCTGGCTTGCCTCTTTCTGCAGAGAAATTTCCTAGATGGAGTTTCTTGGGTGGGGTATCCTGGCTGGCAATTCCTTGCTTTCCTTTGTCTTGGGGAAAAATTGCCTAGGTGGACTTACCTGGCTAGAAAGTTCTGGAATCTTTCTTCCTCAGCAAGACTTACCTGGGTGGAGTTTTGTGAGTGGAAATTCCTTAGTTTCCCGTTGTCTGGTTGCAAGTTACTTAGGTGGAGTTTCCTGGGTGAAAGTTCCTTGCAGTGCTCCTGCTCCTTCTTGGAATTCCCTTTTTGGAATTTAAGGGAGTTGCTGGCTTGCCTCTTTCTGCAGAGAAATTTCCTAGGTGGAGTTTCTGGGTGGGGTATCCTGGCTGGCAATTCTTTCCTTTTCTTTGTGTTGGGGAAAAATTGCCTAGGTGGACTTACCTGGCTAGAAATTGCTGGAATCTTCCTTCCTCAGCAAGACTTACCTGGGTGGAGTTTTGTGAGTGGAAATTCCTTAGTTCCCCGCTGTCTGGTTGCAAGTTACTTAGGTGGAGTTTCCTGGGTTGAAGTTCCTTGCAGTGCTCCTGCTCCTTCTTGGAATTCCTTTTTTTGGAATTTAAGGGATTTGCTGGCTTCCCTCTTTCTGCAGAGAAATTTCCTAGGTGGAGTTTCTTGGGTGGGGTATCCTGGCTGGCAATTCCTTGCTTTCCTTTGTCTTGGGAAAAATTGCCTAGGTGGACTTACCTGGCTAGAAAGTTCTGGAATCTTTCTTCCTCAGCAAGACTTACCTGGGTGGAGTTTTGTGAGTGGAAATTCCTTAGTTTCCCGTTGTCTGGTTGCAAGTTACTTAGGTGGAGTTTCCTGGGTGGAAGTTCCTTGCAGTGCTCCTGCTCCTTCTTGGAATTCCCTTTTTGGAATTTAAGGGAGTTGCTGGCTTGCCTCTTTCTGCAGAGAAATTTCCTAGGTGGAGTTTCTGGGTGGGGTATCCTGGCTGGCAATTCTTTCCTTTTCTTTGTGTTGGGGAAAAATTGCCTAGGTGGACTTACCTGGCTAGAAATTGCTGGAATCTTTCTTCCTCAGCAAGACTTACCTGGGTGGAGTTTTGTGAGTGGAAATTCCTTAGTTTCCCGTTGTCTGGTTGCAAGTTAATTAGGTGGAGTTTCCTGGGTGGAAGTTCCTTGCAGTGCTCCTGCTCCTTCTTGGAATTCCCTTTTTGGAATTTAAGGGATTTGCTGGCTTGCCTCTTTCTGCAGAGAAATTTCCTAGGTGGTGTTTCTTGGGTGGGGTATCCTGGCTGGCAATTCCTTGCTTTCCTTTGTCTTGGGGAAAAATTGCCTAGGTGGACTTACCTGGCTAGAAAGTGCTGGAATTTTTCTTCCTCAGCAAGACTTCCTGGGTGGAGTTTTGTGAGTGGAAATTCCTTAGTTTCCCGTTGTCTGGTTGCAAGTTAATTAGGTGGAGTTTCCTGGGTGGAAGTTCCTTGCAGTGCTCCTGCTCCTTCTTGGAATTCCCTTTTCGGAATTTAAGATAATTTAAGGGATTTGCTGGCTTCCCTCTTTCTGCAGAGAAATAGGTGGAGTTTCTGGGTGGGGCATCCTGGCTGGCAATTCTTTCCTTTTCTTTGTCTTGGGGAAAAATTGCCTAGGTGGACTTACCTGGCTAGAAAGTGCTGGAATCTTTCTTCCTCAGCAAGACTTTCCTGGGTGGGGTTTTGTGAGTGGAAATTCCTTAGTTTCCCGTTGTCTGGTTGCAAGTTACTTAGGTGGAGTTTCCTGGGTGGAAGTTCCTTGCAGTGCTCCTGCTCCTTCTTGGAATTCCTTTTTTTGGAATTTAAGGGATTTGCTGGCCTGCCTCTTTCTGCAGAGAAATTTCCTAGGTGGAGTTTCTGGGTGGGGTATCCTGGCTGGCAATTCTTTCCTTTTCTTTGTGTTGGGGAAAAATTGCCTAGGTGGACTTACCTGGCTAGAAAGTGCTGGAATCTTTCTTCCTCAGCAAGACTTACCTGGGTGGAGTTTTGTGAGTGGAAATTCCTTAGTTTCCCGTTGTGTGGTTGCAAGTTAATTAGGTGGAGTTTCCTGGGTGGAAGTTCCTTGCAGTGCTCCTGCTCCTTCTTGGAATTCCCTTTTTGGAATTTAAGGGATTTGCTGGCTTGCCTCTTTCTGCAGAGAAATTTCCTAGGTGGGGTTTCTTGGGTGGGGTATCCTGGCTGGCAATTCCTTGCTTTCCTTTGTCTCGGGGAAAAATTGCCTAGGTGGACTTACCTGGCTAGAAATTGCTGGAATCTTTCTTCCTCAGCAAGACTTTCCTGGGTGGACTTTTGTGAGTGGAAATTCCTTAGTTTCCCGTTGTCTGGCTGCAAGTTAATTAGGTGGAGTTTCCTGGGTGGAAGTTCCTTGCAGTGCTCCTGCTGCTTCTTGGAATTCCCTTTTTGATTCCTTTTTGGAATTTAAGGGATTTGCTGGCCTCCCTCTTTCTCCAGAGAAATTTCCTAGGTGGAGTTTCTTGGGTGGGGTATCCTGGCTGGCAATTCCTTGCTTTCCTTTGTCTTGGGGAAAAATTGCCTAGGTGGACTTACCTGGCTAGAAAGTGCTGGAGTTTTTCTTCCTCAGCAAGACTTACCTGGGTGGAGTTTTGTGAGTGGAAATTCCTTAGTTTCCCGTTGTGTGGTTGCAAGTTACTTAGGTGGAGTTTCCTGGGTGGAAGTTCCTTGCAGTGCTCCTGCTCCTTCTTGGAATTCCCTTTTTGGAATTTAAGGAATTTGCTGGCTTGCCTCTTTCTGCAGAGAAATTTCCTAGGTGGCGTTTCTGGGTGGGGCATCCTGGCTGGCAATTCTTTCCTTTTCTTTGTGTTGGGAACCAAATCCTAGGTGGAGTTTCCTGGGTGGGACATCCTGGCAGCTTGGCGTCGTTCTGGTGAAAATTTTCCGATAGGTGGAATTACCTGGCTAGAAATTGCTGGCGTCTTTCTTCATCGCCCAGACTCACTTGGAAAGGACCCTCGGGACACCGAGATGTTTCAAAACAATTGCTGGAAAGACCAAAAATGTGAAGCGCAGTACGGTGGCACAGAGGCTATATGTATCAGAGGATTAATGACTGCTATGTGTTCTTTATAGCCATTTATAACAACCATAAGTGGGCCCTTGTTGTGCGATACTGGTGATATAAAATATCTTGGTGGAAACTTATGTGGAATCCTATGTGTAATTCTATGTGGAAGGGAATTGCACACTGAGCCGAGTCACTTCAGGGTATTCAAATTCCTTGGCAAACTGCGGAAATGAAGTTGTTGGAAAACTACGCTGGAAAACCATGGAAAAGCATTGGTGGAAAACCATGGAAACACCTTGTCAAAGGCACGGAAAAAAAACGGTGGAACATCATGCAACATTATTTTGGGCGGAAACCCATGGACACACCCTGGTGGAAAACTTTTGGTGGAAAACAACGGAAAAGTATTGGTGGACAACAAAGGAAAACCGCTGTTGGAAAACTGCAGACAAAATGATGGAAAACTTGGAAAACCATTGACAACATCTGGTGGAAAGCCACGGAGAAACAATATCCACTGACTTTTGATTAGGGGCTTGCCGGTACCCTTGCACCATGCGCCAAGTCACATCTGGATATTGGCATTCCTCGATTGGCTCCTTGCCAACCGCTGTTTCTTCAGCTGGCGCCTGTCTATGCTTTGAGCATGCAACCCCAATTGCATGCCATTTTCTTCCAAGATTTTCACAACCGGTCCAAACTTTTGGTTCGGCCATGCTTAGAGGAGTGGGGGCCTGACAGCCCAAAAAAGTATTGGGTCTACAGTATATAA